AGGATTGGACCTGAATCTTGGATGAGTAGGATGCTGATGGGCAGAGAAAGCAGGCAAGGCAGAAATAGCAAACAGGGTGTTCCTAGCAGGCGACATTGTCTGGGGAAAGGCACAGGGCAGCCAGATGCTGGGCTGTTGGGCCCAGGGCAGTGGCAGATGGGGACAGGAGGCTTGTAGTATTGTGGTCACTTTGAAAGACAGTGAGGGTCTGCATCCTCGGAGAAGAGATTAATGACACCCATCTTCCTCTTTTGTAGCCCGCTCCCAAAAGACTTCGGGCATCGGGCGCCTGATGGTGCATGTCATTGAAGCTACAGAATTAAAAGCCTGCAAACCAAATGGTAAATGCTGCTTTCGTTCATTCAACAGACATGGTAACTGCCCCACCCCAGTCTTTGCTGATGACTTTTTTTTTTTTTTTTTTGAGACAGAGTCTCACTCTGTTGCCCAGGCTGGAGTGCAGTGGCACGATCTTGACTTACTACAACCTCTGCCTCCAGGGTTCAAGTGATTCTCGTGCCTCAGCCTCCCAAGTAGCTGGGACACACACACCACCACGCCTGGCAAATTTTTGTAATTTTTTTTTTTTTGAGACGGAGTTTCGCTCTTGTTACCCAGGCTGGAGTGCAATGGCGCGATCTTGGCTCACTGCAACCTCCACCTCCTGGGTTCAAGCAATTCTCCTGCCTCAGCCTCCCGAGTAGCTGGGACTACAGACGTGCGCCACCATGCCCAGCTAATTTTTGTATTTTTAGTAGAGACAGGGTTTCACCATTTTGGCCAGGCTGGTCTCGAACTCCTGACCTCAAGTGATTGGCCCGCCTTGGCCTCCCAAAGTGCTGGGATTACAGGTGTGAGCCATCGCACTCAGCCACTGATGACTCTTCTGAACACTGAATGATGGGATGCTTTTTAATAGTCAATGTGTCCAGTGCCACTAAAATGCCCATATTGGACCAATATTCTTATCACTGTTTCCCCCAGTAAGCACCAGTGCCTGCCTTCCCAAGTGTGTCTGCGTTGAGGAAGCATGCGGCAGGTTGCAGTGATACTCACCCAGGCTTGCTCCGTAGGCAGTGCTGCTACATGCTGGCAGTGGAGCTCTCGGCCACTCCCCGGCTGTATGCTGCTGTCACTACTGGGAACTCAAAGACCCTGTCACTAGACCACAGGGATATGGTGCTCCAGGCATTGGCTCCTGCTACTGTGGTCTAGAGTGACACATTATGTGGGATCCTGCTTCTGCTCAGGAGGGCACTGTCAGTCACTCATTTTACCTGCATGCGCCACATGTCTGTGCTTTTTGTTCAGGAAAGAGCAACCCATACTGCGAAATCAGCATGGGCTCCCAGAGCTACACCACCAGGACCATTCAAGACACACTCAATCCCAAGTGGAATTTTAACTGCCAGTTCTTTATTAAGGATCTCTACCAAGATGTGCTGTGTCTCACCCTGTTTGACAGAGACCAGTTCTCACCAGATGGTAAGTGGTGCTCAGCCAGGGGCTTTCCCAGTTTCCTAGATCCTAGAGTCCAGATCCTAGGGCCTCAGCTGTGTGCAGACCCCCCTGCCACTTCAGGGAAGTGACACAGGCCTGTGTCATCCCACTTTGGCAGCAGGTGTATGCCTTTTCTCAGGGCAGGGGGTGGCCTTAGATGTGTTTCAGGTCTTTGACCCATCACTCCCTACATGCATGATGTAAATACTGCTCCTGGAACATTCCCAGAATGGAGATTTGAGCCAGGTGCAGTGGCTCACAGCTTTAATCCCAGCACTCTGGGAGGCCAAGGATCACGAGGTCAGGAGTTCGAGACCAGCCTGACCAACATGGTGAAACACCATCTCTACTAAAAATACAAAAATTAGCCAGGCATGGTGGCATGTGCCTATAATCCTAGCTACTTAGGAGGCTGAGGCAGGAGAATCACTTGAACGCAGGAGGTGGAGGTTGCAGTGAGCAGAGATTGTGTCACTGCACTCCAGCCTGGGCAACAGAGCGACACTCTGTCTCAAAAAAAAAACAAAGAATGAAGATTTAAATTCCACATGGGCAGCTTCTCTTACGCAAACCTGCTATCATTCCCCATGCATCCATTCACAGTATTAAACACCCATGAACCAAAAGAAGTTCCTTGTTTCAGATTTCAAGCTTTTATGAATCCTATTTCAGACACTCTTCCGGATGTAGCTCCTTAATGATTTTATAAAGAAGAAAGACTTCTGACTCTATGTTTACTCACCAGATTTCCTGGGTCGTACTGAAGTTCCAGTGGCAAAAATTCGCACAGAACTGGAAAGCAAAGGCCCGATGACCCGCCGACTGCTGCTGCACGAGGTCCCCACCGGGGAGGTTTGGGTCCGCTTTGACCTGCAGCTTTTTGAGCAAAAAACTCTCCTGTAGGGGGTTCAAAAGGACAGAACCAAGGGGTCTGCCCACAGGCTGGGCTGGAGAATGAGAGACTGCGCTCTCTTGGGGCTGAGGGAGCACCATGCAGCTTCACCCCTCACAAAGCCACGCATGCTGGGGGCTCTGCTTTCCTGCACACTAAACCGCAAGCAATCTATGCAAACACCTTTCCTAGAAAGAAACCAAACCCCTGAGCACAGTGCCTTGTCCTAGTGTTCACATGTTCAGCTGTGTTTAGATGCCAAGGTTTCCATTTTCAGGGCTATAAAAGTATTACATGGAAATGAGGCATCAGACCACCAGACATTACCGCTCGGTTGAATGTGTCCACTGTGGAGTGGGTTGGTGACGCTGTAACCATTCCACGCCAGTGACCTCTGCTGGGTCACAGCCACTCAGGAGGGGAGGAGTCGGGATGAGATGCTGCAGCCTTGGCGCTTGCGCAACCTGATACTGAAATAGCGTCTACTTGTGCACTGAATAAAAACAGAAACTTGACCATTTTACTCCTGATTAGATTTTATCATTCTCTGCTAAGACAATATAGTCTGAAATTTAAGTGGGAAAGCTTGATTTAAATACTGTGAACTCTAATAATGTGGAAAATATTTTTCAACTTTAATTTTCTGAAGTATAAATTATTTATGTAAATTCATTGTCGTTGCATATTTCATAGGACATGCATCTTTAAGCTTTATCATTGCCAATATGTACAGACAGAGAATAAAGACATACATTTATGGATGGAACTTCTTTCAAAGCCTGACTCATTTACTTTCTAGATGAAAGGTTTTTTTTTCTTCTTTTTAATTTTCTTAGCCAGATGAAAGGCTCCTAAAAGGTAACTTCAGAACCTGCCTATAATGAAACCAAATTTCCTTCCTGGTAAGTGGGAAAAACCAAGGACAGGGTGGGGATGAGGTCCGGAGACCCAGGGCCTCATCTAGAGTCTGCTGCTAACTTGCTCTGTGACTTTGGTGAATCTACCCCGTGATTCTGGGGCTGGCTTTCTTTAGTGGGTGAAATGGATGATCTCTATTGGAGCTACTGACCCTCTGCGTCCTTCAGCTTGCCCCATTGAGTGATAACTTCAGGGTAACTTACAGCAAAGAAATGCACAAAGGTCTTACACACCAAACCTCTGGATTAATGAGTAAAAACAGGGAAAAGATGATCTGTTCTTTTGTTTTTGTTTGAGACAGAGTCTTGCTCTGTCACCCAGGCTGGAGTGCAGTGGTGTGATCTCAGCTCACTGCAACCTCTGCCTCCCGGGTTCAAGCAATTCTCCTGCCTCAGCCTCCCAAGTAGCTGGGACTGCAGGCATGTGCCACTACACCTGGCTAATTTTTGTATTTTTAGTGGAGACAGGGGTTTCACCGTGTTGGCCAGGCTGGTCTCAAACTCCTGACCTCAAGTGATCCGCCTGCTTCAGCCTCCCAAAGTGCTGGGATTACAGGCATGAGCCACTGTGCCCGGCCAGATATGTCCTTTTGAAGGAATCACTTGAGTTGCCAGGGCCCTGATTTCTAAGGGAGCAGGTCTCCAGGCAGCTGGAGGAACCAGGAAAGATTCAAATGTCCCAAGGGCTTGGGCCTCCACCATAGCCCCTGCTTCTCTTTAAACATAATTGCTGGACAAAGGGCTGGAAAACAGAACCGGCACATTCAGATTTAAAAATCCATCACTCAGTTATAGATCCTGGGCACTGATTGGTTAAAACATAGACATAAAAAAAGATAAGATGCCACTGGATATATGAAACCAGAAGAACTGAATGTACTGCTTGCTTGTGGGAGACTCTGGCTAGTCAGGCCCAGTCTCACTGAGCAGAGTGAACTGCTGGCTGTCTCTAGGGTTGGAGCTTGTTGGTCACAAGGCCAGCTTGTCTGATGTCAGCAGGAAGGCTGCCCCTGATGACTCAAACCCAGCTCTAGGCTTACTTGGCACGAGAGCTACGGAACCGTCCTGTGTTCCCAGGGCTGTGGGGACTATAATCCTCACTGGGATGAACTATGGCAAGTGCCATTTCTCCACTGCTAGATACAACAGGACTCTTTGGTCAGATTTAGGACAGAGGACCCTCAGGACCAGAGTCAGACAACCTCTATGAAACCATGGACCAAACAGAGCATTGGCACACCGGGCCACTCCAGCTGTCCCCTTCCACCTAGGAACATACATCTGCCCCTTGAGAAATCAAATGTAAGCCTGACTTTTGGGAGGATGTGGGGTGTGCCTGAGTCTCCGTACCTCCACCCCAGCAGGACCTGGCATATGTGCCTCACGCGCCTGGAAGTCTCCCCTCTGTTGAGGATCCCCCCAGCAGGTCCCTCCAGTGCTCTTCAGGAGCAAGTGCCATGGGGGGAGGGGCACTCGACTCCCACTCCCCCAGGGAAGGGGATAAACACGTGCTGTGTGGCACCTGAGGGACTGGCCTGAGAGAACACTGCCACCTCTGAGCAGCTCACCAAGCCTCAGAGCATTGTGGTCGGGACAGGATAGTAGTATATTGCTGTGAAAACTTTTCAGTGAACAAAGTACCTCACAGGCATCCTGATTCACAACAGGAGCTCAATAAATATGAACTACTCTGATTCGGATATTCCTTGCAATTTATTTCCACTTCTCGAGAAAGTGTGTTTAGAGTATTTCAACTGTGGTACAGACACTGCCAAGTCAAGTCCACTTAGTTTCAGTACCAAGGGTGGCCCAGCCCGGCTGCCTTCTGCAGGGAGGCCAGGTGCTGCCCCAGGACCTCAGCTGTCATCACTCTTCTTCCCATAGGCTGGGGACCCCTGTGTTGTTGGCTGTCCCCAGCAGCCCAGGAGTGGGGTCTCTGCTGTCTGGTTCCTAAAACCTAGCAACAGAAGAGAAGGGCTGAGTGTGGTGCAGGGATGTGGGGCTTACATGTGCAGGGAGGCCCCCCACTGACTCTGCCCCACACTCAGCCCTCCTGCTAGAGCTGAGACCCCCGATTCGGGCAGGTTTCTGGCCAGCCCTCTTGCTTTACCCACCCCCACCCACACACTCTGTCTGGTTCCTGCAACTCTAAGATGAGGCTGTCTGTATCTTTGAATTCCACAAAGAACTAACCCTTTTGTGGTAAGTACAGCAGAAATGACCAGCTGGCCACAAAATGCTCCCTCTTCTGCCACTGTGGCCAGACCAGCGATGGAATACTTTTTCCCTGCACCCCTATATCCTACAGTTAGGGACAAACATGGGACTGGGCCCTAGCCCAGGGAATATCAGAGGAAATGACATGCCACCTCCAGCCTGGCCCACTAACACCCAACTCCCAGGAAGAACTCATCCATGATCTCTCCCATTTTCAGGTTGACAGGAATGAGTTCCTGGGGCAACCTCAGAAGCCAGGTGCTGAAGATGACAAAGGTCAATGAGATAGGGCCCCAAAAGACTGCACAGGAGGGACAGACTGCTGACCTGCTGGGACAGTGCCAGCACAACAGCAAAACTCAACTGCTACTGCATTTAACTTCAGAACACTTGGGTCTACTAGTGTAGCTCACCCTACCTTTAAGGGTAGAACTGACCACAGTCACATTAAGATCTGATATAAACAAGTGACAGTATATCAAACTAAAAAGCTTCTGCACAGCAAAGGAAACAAAACAAAAAGGCAACCTACAGAAAGGGAAAAAATATTTCCAAACCATGTATCAAATAAGGGGTCAATATCCAAAACATATAAGAAACTCATTCACCTCAATAGCAAAAAAACAAATAACCCAATTTAAAAATGGGACAGAGATTTTTCTAAAGCCTCTCTCCTGCTCCCTCAAAAAAATGCATAAATGGTCAAGAGGTATACAAAAAGGTGCTCAACATCACTAATCATCACTGAAATGCAAATCAAAACGACAATAAGTTGTCACCTCACACCTGTTAGGTTGGCTATTATGAAAAAGTCAAAAGATAACAAGCGTCCCTTGTCTGGGAACCTTCATGTAGGTAACCCCCAGATAGGCACTGAGGAATGAGAGCTAAGCAGAACTCTGGCACAGTTAGGGCTTGAGGAATATCTCACTTTATAGTGTTACTACTCAGCTATTTCCTTTTATATAATCCTTTAAATAATCGTATATTAGTTTATAGAAATAGGGCTTGAGGAATCCCTTTATATAATCCTCTATATATAATATAATAGTTGATAGTATGAGTGCCTAAAGAATATTTCCCTACATATATACCTATAATTATATATTAGTCCATAATCGGTGGAATGCCTAGAGTGGACACAGCATGAATTAAGGAATAAGCAGCTTATAATCGGAGGAATGCCTAGAGCAGACACAGTGCAGGGCATGATTTAAGGGACAAACAGTTATACCAGGAAAAGAATCCATGGCCCAGGTGGCAGCGTTCGGTATCGTTAAGATACCCGCCGTATGGCACGCTTGGGGCAAGAGCCACTCCTCCTGATAAAGGAGTTGTAGGACCTTGCTCCAGTTCTTGTGGAAGGCCGCCCTCAGACCGGCAATCCACCTTGGTGACTGTGAACTTTATCAGCTCTTGCTACTGTGCTGCTTGAAAAGCATCTTCCCATAGAACCCATTGGAAGCTGCCAGAAGGTGGCAGTAAACTTGACAGTGCTGTCACTGCTATGTGACTTAAAGCATCCTCCCATAAATCTTCTTAGAAGTAGTTTTCCCATAGATAGAAGTATCGCACACTGCACCCTCTTCACTGCGCACGGCCCACCTTCAAGCCTAGGTGACCTAATGGGGGTGAACCTCTTACTGCACACGGCCTTGCCTTCATGGGAACAGGCCCCTTGCTGCGCACTGTCCACCTCCTGGCCTAGGTGACCTAATGGGGGTGGACCCCATGTTTTATTGCTCACGACCCTATCACTATCCTTAAAGATGATTTCACTCACTGCCCTGCCCGCTAACCTATATACAATAAATACTCATGCTTCTGTACATTCAGGGCCTTGCCTAACTCCGCTTATAGGTGGCGTGGCCCCCTAAGCCCAGCTGCATTTTCCTTGTACTTCTGTGTCCTGTCTCTTCATTTCTCAGATCCTGCGCCTCAGCACAGCATAAGGCTCACCCCATGACTCTGTGGGGCCAACAGCCCTACACCTTCGTACACTGTCAGTGGAATGTAGGTTACTACTGCCATTATGGAAAACAGCATGAAGGCTTCCTAATAAATTAAAAATAGAATTACCAGACAATTCAGCAATCCCACTTCTGGGTGTATATACATATATTCACCAGAAATAAAATCACTATCTTGAAGAGAGATCCACAGTCCCATGTTCGCTGCAGCATTATTCACAATAGCCAAGAAATGGAAACAACCTAAGCATCTGCTGACATGAACAGGTAAAGAAAACATATGATAAAGGGGAGACCACCACGGATTCCACAGAAATACAAACCACCATCAGAGATTACCACAAACAACTCTATGCACATAAACCAGTAAACCTGGAAGAAATGGATAAATTCCTGGACACTTGCACTCTCCCAAGCCTAAACCAGGAAGAAGTCGAAGCCCTGAATAGACCAATAACAAGGGCTGATGTTGAGGCAGCAATCAATAGCCTACCAACCAAAAACAGCCCAGGTCCAGATGGGTTCACAGCTGAATTCTACCAGACATACAAAGAGGAGCTGGTACCACTCCTTCTGAAACGATTCCAAACAAGACAAAAAGAGGGAATCCTTCCCAAATCATTTTATGAGACCAACATCATCCTGATACCAAAACCCGGCAGAGACTCAACAAGAAAAGAAACCTTCAGGCCAATATCCACGATGTACACAGATGCAAAAATCTTCAATAAAATACTGGCAAACAGATTGCAACAGTACATCAAAAAGCTTATCCATCACAATCAAGTAGGCTTCATCCCAGGGATGCAAGGCTGGTTCAACATATGCAAGTCTATAAACGTAATTCACCACATAAACCGAACCAAAGACAAAAACCACATGATTATCTCAATAGATGCAGAGAAGGCCTTTGACAAAATTCAACAGCCCTTTATGCTAAAAACTCTCAAGAAACTAGGTACTGACGGAACGTATCTCAAAATAATAAAAGCTATTTACGACAAACCCACAGCCAGTATCATACTGAATGGGCAAAAACTGGAAGCATTCCCCTTGAAATCTGGCACTAGACAAGGATGCCCTCTCTCACCACTCCTATTCAATATAGTATTGGAAGTGCTAGCCAGGGCCATCAGGCAAGAAAAAGAAGTAAAGGGTATTCAATTAGGAAAGGAGGAAGTCAAATTGTCTCTATTTGCAGATGACATGATTGTATATTTAGAAGACCCCATCATCTCAGCCCAGAATCTCCTGAAACTGATAAGCAACTTCAGCAAAGTCTCAGGATACAAAATCAATGTGCAAAAATCACAAGCATTCCTATACACCAATAACAGACTTAAAGAGCGCCAAAACAAGAACGAACTGCCATTCACAATTGCTACAAAGAGAATAAAATACCTAGGAATACAACTAACAAAGGATGTAAAGGACCTCTTCAAGGAGAACTACAAATCACTGCTCAAGGAAATAAGAGAGGACACAAAGAGATGGAAAAACATTCCATGCTCATGGTTAGGAAGAATCAACATCGTGAAAATGGCCATACTGCCCAAAGTAATTTATAGATTCAATGCTATCCCCATCAAGCTATCAATGACCTTCTTCACAGATCTGGAAAAAACCACCTTAAACTTCATGTGGAACCAAAAGAGAGCCCGCATAGCCAAGTCAATTCTAAGCAAAAAGAACAAAGCTGGAGGCATCATGCTACCTGACTTCAAACTATACTACAAGCCTACAGTAATCAAAACAGCATGTTACTGGTACCAAAACAGAGATATAGACCAATGGAACAGAACAGAGGCCTCTGAGGCAAGGCCACACATCTATAACCATCTGATCTTTGACAAACCTCACAAAAACAAGCAATGGGGAAAGGATTCCCTGTTTAATAAATGGTGTTGGGAAAACTGGCTAGCCATGTGCAGAAAGCAGAAACTGGACCCTTTCCTGACACCTTACACTAAAATTAACTTACACTAAAATTAATCCAGATGGATTAAAGACTTAAGCATAGACCTAACAGCATAAAAACCCTAGAAGAAAACCTAGGCAAAACCATTCAGAACATAGGCAAAGGCAAGGACTTCATGACTAAAACACCAAAAGCATGGCAACAAAAGCCAAAATAGACAAATGGGATCTAATTAAACTCCAGAGCTTCTGCACAGCAAAAGAAACAATCAGAGTGAACTGGCAACCAACAGAATGGGAAAAAATTTTTGCAATCTACCCATCTGACAAAGGGCTAATATCCAGAATCTACAAAGAACTAAAACTGATTTACAAGGAAAAAAACAAACAAACCCATTCATAAGTGAGTGAAGGATATGAACAGACACGTTTCAAAAGAAGACATATATGAGGCCAACAAACATGAAAAAATGCTCATCACTGGTCATTAGAGAAATGCAAATCAAAACTACACTGAGATACCATCTCACGCCAGTTAGAATGGCGATCATTAAAAAATCTGGAGACAACAGATGCTGGAGAGGATGTGGAGAAATAGGAACACTTTTACACTGTTGGTGGGGTGTAAATTAGTACAACCATTGTGGAAGACAGTGTCGCAATTCCTCAAGGACCTAGAAATGGAAATTCCATTTGACCCAGCAATCCCATTACTGGGTATATATATCCAAAGGATTAAAAATCATTCTATTATAAGGACACATGCACACGAATGTTCATTGCAGCACCATTTAAAATAGCAAAGACTTGGAACCAATCCAAATGCCTATTGATGATAGACTGGAAAGGAAAAATGTGGCACATATACACCATGGAATACTATGCAGCCATAAATAACGAAGAGTTCGTGTCCTTTGTAGGGACATAGATGAACCTGGAAACCATTATTCTCAGCAAACTGACACAGGAACAGAAAATCAAACACCACATGTTCTCACTCATAGGCGGGTATTGAACAACGAGAACACATGGACACAAGGAGGGGAGCATCACACACTGAGGTCTGTGGCGGGGGAACTAGGGGAGGGACAGTGGGAGGTGGGGAGTTGGGGAGGGCTAACATGGGGGAGAAATGCCAGATATAGGTGATGGGGAGGAAGGCAGCAAACCACATTGCCATGTATGTACCTATGCAACAATCCTGCATGTTCTTCACATGTGCCCCAAAACCTAAAACGCAATAAATATATATAAAAAAAGAAAACATATATGGTACACATCCACGGACCATAAACCCACCTGAGAAAAGAAGGAAGTCCTGCCATTTGCAGCAACATAGGTGAACGTGGAGGACATTATGTCAAGTGAAAGAAGCCAGGCACAGAAAGACAAATATTGACTGATCTCATATCAGAGGTGTGTGAACCAGAGCAACTCTATCTTAAATAGGAGCTGGTTTTTAAAATGAGGCTGAAGCCTACTGGGCTGCATTCCCAGATGGTTAAGGCATTCTAAGTCACAGGGTGAGATAGGAGGTCGGCCCAAGATACAGGTCATAAAGACCTTGCTAATAAAACAGGCTGCAGTAAAGGAGTTGGCCAAAACCCACAAAAACCAAAATGGTGACGAGAGTGACCTCTGGTCGTCCTCACTGCTACACTCCTATTAAAAACGTGTGCTTTGAATGAAGAGAACCCCCAAACAGGCTTTGTGTGAGCAACATGGCTGTTTATCACCTGGGTGCACGTGGGCTACGGCTGAAAAGAGCATTAGCAAAGGACAGTGGGATAGGAGCTGGTTTTACAGGTATGGGGTGGGCAGTGGAAAGTTAGAGTAAGATCCGTCACAGTGGTGGGGGTAGGGGCAAGGACTATGCATTACCATAAGTTAGTTACAATGGTGGGTGGCATAATAGTACTATCATAACAACAGTTAAGATGGCAGGGTAGGGTGAGGGATTGTCCTAAAGCGCTGGGTGATTAGGGACAATCAGCTGAGGGAAGCAGGACTTCAGACTTTCAAGCTCCAGGCTTGCATATGGAGACCTGACAACTCCCACCAGCACCACGACAGTTTACAAATGTCATGGCAACATCAGGAAGTTACCCTTGATGGTCTAAAAGGGGAAGCCCGAATAATCCACCCCTTGTTTAGCATATTGTCAAGAAATAACCATTAAAATGGGCATCCAGCGGCCCTCTGGGCTGCTCTGTCTATGGAGTAGCCATTCTTTTATTCCTTTACTTTCTTAATAAGCTGCTTTCACTTTGTACTGTGGACTCGCCTTGAATTCTTTCTTGCACAAGATCCAAGAAACCTCTCTTGGGGTCTGGATCTGGACCCCTTTCCTGTAACAATATGTGGAATCTAAAGACATCGAACACATCCAAACAGAGTAGCAGGGTGGTTACCAGAGTTGGGGGGCGGGGTGGGGGCAGTGAGGGGACAGCTGTTGGTCAAAGGGTAGAAACTTTCCGTGATAAGACTGAGGCAGGAGAACAGGATCTAGAGACAGGGAATGTAGGGCCAATGTGTGGGATGTGTTAACCTCCACGGCTAACAGTACGTTCTAGAGGCCTGATGGACAACATGATACTATAGTTGCTAATAACGTGCACTTGCAATTTGCTCAGAGTAGATCGTGAGTATTCTCACCGCACACACACGAAAACAGTAACTGAGTTGGTGGATATGTGGACGAGCTTGACGGTGGCAAACATTTCACAATGAGTATCTACAGCAAATCACCACGTTGTACATTTTGAATATTTGAAAGGAATGAGCAGCTCCTGTGCTCTCAGATAAATTATGCTCCGAGGAAACAGCTGAAGAGTCACAGGTAACTTACCACAGACGGAGAAGCCTTTACTCCCTAGAGAGCCTGGGGACAGCAATGGGGCAGAGCAGGAGCTGGTGACAAAATCCCTAACCAGGTTCACAGGCTGGAGAGCAACTGAGTCCCGTCCTCTGTGCGTGGTGGTGAGGGGTGAGCCAAGCCGAGGCCTTCCCGAGAGGGTCCTGCGCTTCAGGCCTCAGGGTACGCGGAGTGGCAGAGAGAATGAAGGGGGAAACTGTCAAATCAGCCATGAGCTCTGGATAAGAAAGCTGTACTCGGAAAATTCCTACATATAAAAGACCTTTTAAATATTTTAAAAAATCTCATCTTGCCCTAATTTTTTGGTATAAATTTCATTTCAAAAACTTCCCACCTGTTGTGTGCACACTAAAGAGAACACCATTTTTGGTGCGGTTTGGATGGACTAAGTGGAAAATGGCGGGAAAATGGCAGAAGGGCAAAGGCCCAGGTGAAGGCGCTGAAGAAATCTGAGAGAGAAAAGCCCCTGTGGCCAGGTTGGCCCTCACCTTGGAAGGACAGGATCTGTCTCCAGAAAGTGGGGTCCAGGTCCCACATTTACCACTTATCTGAGTTTCTTCCTACAAGGCTTCCCCACCCAAGGGTCTCCGTCAGAGCTGCGGCACTGAGCCTGAGGCCACCCACCATTTCTTCCTCCTCCTTTTCAGGCCTTCTTCTTGGGCCATGCCTGCTCTGCCCTCGGGTGCTCGTCTGACAGGGAGAGCTGTGGCGCTGGCTCATTCTAGAACCTGTACGTGCTGCTCGTGGGGGCTGCAAAGCCTTGCATCCCGGCCCCGCCTCACAAAATCCCTAACCAGGTTCACAGGCTGGAGAGCAGCTGCAGGCCCATCCTGTGTGTGTGGTGGGGACGGGGGGAGTGTCTGCTCACCAGACCCTTCCTGTCACCCACTTTGTTCTTCTGGCTGAGCTCTGAGGAAAGGAACTGCTTTTCAAACTCAGCCTGACTTAGGTCGGTTGTCTTTTTCTCTTTTCTTTTGTGTTTCTTTTCTGCACAGATCAGCTTTTCAGGACTGTGAAGAAAAACAGAAAAACTTATCTTGATTCAGCACAAATGGAACTGTAGCATCAAATAATTTTGAAGATTAACGTAATGAACTCAATAGTCACTTTTAAGAAGGAACGACTGAGCAGCCATCACTGGTAGCTGTGCCTCAATCTGCCTGCCCTGCTCGTATCTCTGCTGGCCCAATCCCTAGGGAGGCGGTGACTCAGGGATGCTCCCCCAGCCATGGCTGAGGAACCAGGTCCAGGGCCTCAATTCCTATGGCTGCAGTTGGGACAAAGGGGCTTCCAGGCAACCTCTGAATGATCAAACCAGAAAGTCAGGCAGGATGGTGCTTCCACTTTCCAGCATACTCAGGAAAGCAGAGAAAGCCTGTGTGCAAAGAGAAACGGAGCAGGTTCACAAAGAGAAGTGATAGTGAGTGCCACATAGCCCCAAAGAGGCAGGGACTGGCCTCCCAGTCAGTCCCCTGAGCTGGTTGGCTCCCTTCCTGGTTTGGCTTCCATGACATACCAGTGCTAATATATCTAGCCCCTCTCCCCGACTTTCATTTGAGAAGGATTCTGGCTTTTGTAATCAAACTGTCTCTGCCTCACCTCACCACCTTGCTCTCAAGTCCTTTACTTACTTCATCAGCCATGTGAGACATCCTCTGGGTATGTCCTACCGGAGGGATTTCACCAGGGCTGCCACCATTTCTGCACCAGGAAGCCTAGCCCTATCGAGGGAAATAAGCCTTCTCTTTTCTTCCTCCATTAATTCATTCAACAACCACTTATTCATCATCTACTATGTTCCAGCTAAGTGCTGGGAACACCAAGATTAATACACAGTCCCTGCCCTCAAGGGGCTTCCTGATGGAGGAAGAGCTGGTAAAGGGCTGGAGAGTTCTACATCTCTGTGATAACTGCCCTCTTGCCTGCACTTGAATGGCCAGTGACAGACAGAGCAAAGGCAGGCAACACCCTGGCAGGTCAGGGAGTTATGAACATGCTGACCTGACCCAGAGGTTTCTGTGGTTAATCATTCTTTCTTTTCTTTAGGCCGATGGGACTTTTGAGATGAAGCCGGAAGGGTGGCAGGGCCCAGATGGTGCCTCATGTGCCATGTTGAAGGCCTGGGCTTTGTTGTAAGGGGATGGCACTGAAGGGTTTCCAGTGGAGGAGAGCTGGTCACTTCAAAAAGACCACTCCAGCTGCTGAGCAGACAACAGACTAGAGGAGACCAGCCTGAAGGAGGAACACCAGCAGAGGAGCCAGAGGGGAGATGAAGCCACCAAAGCAACATGAAGCCTTTGTCTTGTGGGAATGGGGGTTATGTAATGACTGGTGTTTAAATAAAAATGTTTGTTAAAATGATAAAGAAACCATAAAACCAGAAATAATACATAAAACTTCCAAATCACTAGGGGAGGCAGAAACAAAGTAGTACTGTTTATTCCAACAAAACTCAGGATGGGGAATGAAAACTAACTATCGAGAGAGTATAATAGACTTCCACTTTTGTGTAGAATATAGAAGTCTGCACAGGCTAAAAGTCCTGCTGAAATAAATAGGAAAAAAAAAAGGAAATTTACCACCAAAATTAAGAATTTTAAAATCACTGGACAGCTTTAAAACCAATTCCAGAGAGGGGAGAGCCTTCAGGAATGAGCTGACAATCTCCAACTCTTGCCTTCCTCTGTGGTAGCATTTCAAGCCCAGGTCACCAATATTAAGTACCAGGGTAGAAGCCGATTTCTCTGTACTTCTAGCATCTTTGGTGGATTTTTTTCTCCACGGGTCTGGCTGATGTCCTGGCAAGTGGGCATTTAACCTTGTTCTCAACATCTCCCTCCCCTGATAGGTAAGTCAAGCAATGCACTTGGGTTTATCAATGGAGGACAGAAACTCTCCAGGCCCCAAGTACAGACAGCATGCACCAAAACCTATTTGAAAAAGAATCAAGGAGGATTGGAGTAGGGGAAGGGAGAGCATTAGGAAAAATAGCTAATACATGCTGGGCTTAATACTTAGGTGATGGGTTGATCACCTAGGCACACATTTACCTGCACATCCTGCACATGTAGCACTAAAATTTTTTTAAAAAGAATCTAATCGTAATTCTAGGTCTATAAAATAAAATAACTGAAAATAATAGTGGATGGGTTTAACAACAGACATAACAGAAGAGATAATAAAATATCTGGAACCAAACATGGGAAGACAAAAAGGATGGGAAATACACAAAAATGATAAGAGACAGACAGAGGATCAGTAAGAAAATCTAAAATATATTTAACTGGAGTACCCAAAACAGTGGAGAGAATATGGTAGAGGTAACAAAGAGAAAATAACTGAAAACTTTCTAGAACTAACGAAAGACATCAACTTACAGATACAAGATGACCCATGAATTCCAAGTAGGATACATGAAAAGAAATCCACATCTAGAAATATCATGCAATACTACAAAAAACAAAGCCAACGAGAAAATCGTAAAAAGCATCCAGGGGAAAAGACAGATTACCTTCAAAGGAACAACAGTAAGACTAGCAGATGACTTCTCAATTGAAAGAGTAAAAGATAACAAGATATCTGTTGAAAGAAAATAACTGCCAATCTAACATTCTTAATCCTGTGAAAATATCCTTTAAGAACATAGGTGAAATCTGAAAACGCTAAGTGTTATATGATTCCAATGTTGCATGACATTCTGTAAAAGGCAAAACAATGAATATAGTTAAAAAAAAAAATCAGTGGTTTCCAGGGGTTAGTGGGGAAGAGAGATGAATGGGGCAGAGGTGATTTTTAGGACAGTGAAATTCTGTGTGACATTAGAGCAGAATAATAGATACATGTCATTGTACACTTGTCAAAATGCATAGAATGTACAACAGAATGTAAACTATGAACTTTGGGTGATAATGTCAATGTAGTTTGTGCCACTGTGGTGCAGGATGTCAACAGTGAGGAAAGTTGTGTTTATTGGGGGACAGGAGGTGTATGAGAACTCTCTAGGTACTTTCCACTTAAGTCTGCTGTGAACATAAAATTTGTTATGAGAAATAAGGTTTATTAGGTTGAAAAAAGGCGGCGAAATAAAGATGTTTTAAAGCAAACAGAAACAGAGATTCTTTATAGCAGATGCACATTTATTGAAACTGTAAACTATATTTCTGTGTTATTTGTTGTGAGGTACATAGTAGAGACTTTATAAATAACATGACATGAGACCTAGAATTTTCCAACAGAAGTGTGAGCACAAAACGGAGAGTGGGGTAAAGCAAGAGAGAGAGAACAAGTATGGAAAAATGTGGATGGTTGCTGAACCTGGGTGATAGGTTCATAGGAATGTGTTGTGCTCTCTACATTCAGTGCATTTGGATATGTTTGAAATAAAATATTTTAAAAACGAGTCAGTCTAATTTTCCATAGGCTGGGTGCAGAGGCTCACAGCTGTAATCCCAGCACTCTGGGAAGTCAAGGCGGGTGGATCACTTGAGGTCAGGAGTTTAAGACCAGCCTGACCAATGTGAAACTCCATCTCTACTAAAAATATAAAAATTAGCCAGGTATGGTGGTGTGCACCTGTAATCTCAGCTACTCAGAAGGCTGAGGCAGGAGAATAACTTGAACCTGAGAGGTGGAGGTTGCAGTGAGCTGAGTTTGTACCATTGTACTCCAGCCTGGGTGACAGAGCAAGACTCCATCTCAAAAAATAAAATAAAAATTTCCATGTTAACAGAATAAAGGAGAAAAAAATTATAATATCAATAAATGCATAAAAAGTAATATATTTTAAAATCTAGCAAACTAAGAAAATCAACTTGATGTGCTAATGGAAATCTAAAAATAACGTAAAGCACAAAAAAGACCAAAAGCTTTTCCGTTTAAGAATATAAGAAAGCTGATTTTCACCACTTTGACTTTGTGCCAGAAATCTTAACTGGTATGGTAAGAAAAAGAAATAAAAGGTATAAGAAATGGAAAACAAGAAATAAAATTCTCTGTATTAGAAGATAATATTGTGGGCCAAGTACAGTGGCTTAGACCTGTAATCCCAGTACTTTGGGAGGCCAAGGTGGGTGGATCACCTGAGGTCAGGAGTTTGAGACCAGCCTGGCCAACATGGTGAAACACCATCTCTACTAAAAATACAAAAATTAGCCTGGTGTGGTGGTGCACACCTGTAATCCCAGCTACTCAGGAGGTTGAGGGAGGAGAATCACTTGAACCCAGGAGGCAGAGATTGCAGTCAATTGAGATCATGCCACTGCACTCCATCTGGGTTGACAGAGGGAGACTCCAACTCAAAAAAAAATAAGATATTATTGTGTACATAGAAAATCCAAAAGACTCTATAGATGTAATATTAGAATTCATAATAAAGTTCAGCAAGGTTGCCAAATACAAATTCAATATACAAAATCATTTTTATTTCTATACAATAACTACAATTAGCCAGAAAACAAAATTATGTATAATAAAATAGGAATAAGTAGGAATAAATCTAAGCAAAGATCTACAAGACCTTTAAACATGGTTTCTCATCCATAGTGCTTACTGACATTTGGGGCTAAGTAATTCTTTGTTGTAGGATATTTGGCAGCATCCCTGCCCTCTGTCCACTAGATGCTTATGGAACCCCGCACCCCTGACAACCAGAAATGTCTCCAAACATTACCAGCTTCTTAATCAGTTTGATTAAGAACCACTCCTTTACATGAAATAAGACCCAAATTAATGGAGAGAGAAATATATACCATGTTCATGGATTAGAGGACTCAAAATTGTAAAGATGTAAATTCTCCCCAAATTGATCTAGAGATTCAATGCAATCCCAATCAAAATCCTAAATATTAGGTTGGTGCAAAAGTAATTGCAGTTTTTTGTGATTACTTTTTTGTTTGAGGGTTTGTTTGTATGTGTATATGTCTACATGAAACTTGAGCTAATTATAAAATTTACTGGTATATTTGTTCTATCAAGTATCAAAACTCATTAAAGAGCTATAGTAAACAAATAGGCTGGGATAGAGAACCTGGAAATTAAGTCTATGTAACAGCACTGGATGTGTATAAAAAGCCACACTGCAGAGCAGTAGGGAAATTATTATATTTTCAATAAATGGTACTGAGGAAAATGGGTTTCAATAGAGGGAAAAAATTAAATTGGGCCCCACATAAAACATATACAAAAACCAACTCTAACTGGATCATAAGCCTATATTTGAAAAGCAAAACTATAAAAGCTATATAGCTTTTGGAAAAGACATTTTAAAATAATGTAAAAAAGCACTAGTTATAAAGGAAAAGAAAAGCAAATTTGACTATATCAAAATTATGACCATTTAAAAATACCATTAGGAAGAATAAAAACACAATCCACAAGATAGGAAAATATGCTTGCAATATATATAACTGAAAAGGGGTTTATAGCCAGAATATATAAGGAAAATCAATAAGACAGACCAAACATCCCAGAAAAAGAAAAAAAAAAAAAAGGCAAAAGTCTTGAACAGATGCTTCTCAAATGAGGAACTCCAACAGCCAATAAAGACATGAAAAGTATTCAGTTTCACCGATAATACGGAAAATGCTATTATATAGCAGTCAACTTTATTCAAATGATAATATTATACACCAAGGGTGAAGGAGAATGAGAAGCAACAGTATTTCTCCTCCATGCTGACGAGGGCGTAAAGTGAAACAGTCTCTTTGCAAAACAGTTTAATGTTATCCCACGACTCAGCACATTCTACTCTTGGGTATATATCCTAAGACATGTGGATTATGGGAACCAAAATACCAAGCTGGATTGTTCATAATAGCCAAAATGTGGAAACAGCCCAAATCCACTAATAGTGGATTGCTTAAATGATGGCATAGTCAAATACAACGGAATACTATAGAAAACAGAAGTTAATACATGGAGCTATATGCAGCAACAGGAAGGAAACTGAAAAGCATAATGGTGAGCAAAAGAAGTCAGTCACACAATGAACTGTATGTGTACAAATCTCCAACAGACGAATTTTACGGTATATAAGCTATATCCATCTTTGTTTTGTTTTGTTGTTTTTATGGAGTCTCGCTCTGTCGCCCAGGTTGGAATGCAGTGGTGCAATCTTGACTCACTGCAACCTCCACCTCTCGAGTTCAAGTGATTCTCCTGCCTCAGTCTCCTGAGTAGCTAGAGCAGGCATCTGCCACAACGCCCAGCTAATTTTTGTATTTTTAGTAGAGACAGGGTTTTATCACGTTGGCCAGGCTGGTCTCGCACTCCTGATCTCAGGTGATCCACCCGCCTTGGCCTTCCAAAGTGCTAAAGGTGTGAGCCACTGTACCCTCATCCCCCACCTGTAAACTATATCTTAATAAAGATGTTTTTAAAGGATTCAGTCATAAAAAATAAATGCTTTCAGGTTCTGTTTATATGAAATTCAAAAACAGTCAAGATAAACTAGATTATTTAAGGATACAATGTTAGCTGATAACACCATGGGGAGGGCAAGGAGGTGAACACTTACAAAGTGAAGAGAGCTCTGGGGCAGGGAAGAGCCTGTCTTAGGAGGGGACAGGTGCCCTTTCTTGACATGGCTGGTGATTCCACAGAACTGACCCGGGGACTTGTTAAGCTGTTTATGTTTCATTCTGTCCTCTACATATATTTTATAATATAAAGGTGATGATTGTAATCATAACAGTAGTAACAGTAAAACTATAAACTACTAAAAGACAAAAGTGTGACTAGTTACAAGACCTTCAGTAGGAAATAAAGTAAGTTGCAAGTTAAACAAATATTTGTTTGTTCTGCTCATCTGTACCTGCATTTACCGCAAGTTTTACTCCTGACTGTTGCAGAGGCTTTCTGCCGCTCCTTCAGAATTACACTGTGTAAAGCGAAAGTGAAGCGGAGCGGGCTGGCAGGCGGCCTGGACTTCTCTATTTCTTTAAGTTCTTTTATGGAATGGTCTTTTCCTACAGGAAGATAAAAAATCAAAATCAACACTCTTAAAGAGCTCTCGTTGCTCTTGGAGTGAGAAATCACTTGACAATTAGCGGTCTCAAAAAGATGAGGTCCGGTGGTGACAATGCACCTGTCTCACACCATAGACCAGTTCTCTTCTCTTCATCCATGTCTTGCTGTCTTTGAAACACAGGATCAAAAAATGGTGGGACTGTAACCTACAAGAAAAATGAGACTCTTTGAGGACCAGAGTGCAGTCTGCATGAAGCTTTTGAAATGTGTCCTACATAAAGATAAGAACACTAGACCCTGAGGACTACAAGAGCCAGAAGGGCAGGAGGGGGCAAGGGTTGAAAAGCTGCCCGCTGGGGACTATGCTGACTACCAGGGTGACAGGTTCAATCGCACCCCAAACCTCAGCAGCACACAATATACCCATGTAAAAAACCTATATGTGTACCCGTGAATCTAAAAGTTGAAATTTAAATAAATAAAATCTGACCTAACCCAGCCTGGGAGGACCCATGCCTCCTGAGGAAACCGACAGCTGGTCTATAAGGGCCTGCGAGAACGGAGGGTGACCAGAGCTGTGGGTTTATGTCAAGGGGTAGGGACATACAGAGGTATTTTTTCTCCCTGTTCCTGATCATAAGCCTTAGAAGGATGATTTTTCCCCTTCATTTCCCCCACAGCACTCATCCCAGTGCTGGACCTGAAGTGCTAGGTAAACAATTACTGAATAAACCAGACAGCGTAACATCTACTGCCTCCAGCACCTAGATGATGAAATTCTACCCAGAACCAAAAGAACGTTAGTCTTCATATGGCTGCCCTGGCTTGTTTTTCTGGGAGAAGCAAAAGAAACTACTTCCATCTTCAGAGCCATACATATTTTTTTAAAAATTAATAGTCAGGTGGCTACTTGTACCGCATAGGAGCAAAAAACTGAAACCTCCGTTTCTCAATTTTAACTCCTATATTGGCAGTTTAAAAATCTGAAGACTCATTACAAACTCAAGTATTAGCTCTCCTGGGCAGGCTTTGCTGACATCCCTCCTGCATCTCTGGTAGAAAGCAGTGTTCCCTCCCAAGTCCCATAATCCCTGCGCTGACTTCTGTGACACACTCGCCACACTCCACTGCACAAGCTGTCCACATCTCTCTCCTTGTGCTTCAAATTTGCTGAATGTGAGGTAAATGAATGCACCAATGAACAAATGATCATGTGTATGCATGCCTTGTGCACAGTTTAAATTCTACAGGAGTCTAAATTACTTTGAGTTCCTATTCTAAAACTCAAAGGAAATGCTTTTGTACTTTTTTTTTAATGAATAGAGAGTAACTACAAAAATTCTAAAATGACTAGGTTTTCCCCCACTCCATAGCTCCTAAGAATAAAAAACCCAAGAAACCTGCTCTACCTTTCCTTAATTTGGTTTCTTTTTCTTCATATAAAAGGGAATGTAGGCTGGGCGCCGTGGCTCACACCTGGGATCCCAGCACTTTGGGAGGCCAAGTCAGGAGCACAAGACCATCCTGACTAACATGTCTCTACTAAAAAAAAATTAGCCGGGCAAGGTGGCATATGCCTATAATCCCAGCTACTTGAGAGGCTGAGGCAGAACTTCTTGAACCGGGAGGTAAAAGTTGCAATGAGCCAAGATCGCACTATTGCACTCCAGCCTGGGCACCAAGAGTGAAACTGTGTCAAGAAAAATTTTTTTTAATTAAAAAAAAAAGGGATTGTATACTTCAGGATCATAATGGTCTTCACATATAATCTCCTTCAGATATATACTTCAGGGAAAATCATTATGTACAAACTGTTTTGCAAGATTCATATAATAAAAGCCAAATACTGTATTTCATTTTTATATAAAAGCATAGCTTCAAAAGGTTGGAAGAAACTGCAGAAGTAATTTAGATTCGATGAGACTCTACCACCTTCTGGGAGAAGTCATCATCTAGCTTTAGTCTGAAGCCATCCATGGGCCTTTGAGAATTTTCTGCTCCGTGAGGCAGGTACTTTTTTTTCGGTAATTTTAACCTCAAGAAAGTCTGTCCTTAGGCTAAGCTGAAATCTGCCTTGTAACTGCAGTTGCAGATACTAGTTCTGTACATCTAATCCAACAGCTAATGTCTGCCTTTAAAATACTTAAAAGTTTCATTTCCCCTCGTATCATCTTTTCCTTGCGCCAAATACCCCACTTCTTTCCTATAAAGTGGTGTCAAGACTCAATTCTTTTCTAAAGGTTCTGCAACTGATGAGTGTCCCTTCAACAGTGCGACATCAGGAATGACAGGATAAGGACAGGATGGACCAAGACTCTGATGCTTCCCACTCTAAGCACAGCCTCTCTTAATACAGCCTGAGAGCTGTATGTTTTCTTGAAACCCAGCTCATATGGTTGATTCACAATGACTTTACTGACATTAGCATCACTTGGACTTCAACACATGCCATTTCTAAGATCCTCCCCTCCTATACTTGTACAATCACATTTCTGGACACAAATATAAGACTTTGCACTTTAGAGATCTGAATTCAGTCTTGAGCTCCGCCCCTTCGAGTGTGTAGGAAAAAGGGTTTAAGGTAAATATTCAGAAATTGTGCTCAATAAATATACTTAAATGTTCTAATATTCCAGTTAAACTACTCTAGCGTCTCACTCTATCACCCAGGCTGGAGTGCAGTGATGCTATCACGGCTCACTGCAACCTTTGCCTCCCAGGCTCGAGTGATCATCCCACCTCAACTTCCCAAGTAGCTGGGACTACAGGTGCACAATACCACACCCAGCTTTTTTTTGTACAGAGGGGGTTTTGCCATGTTGCTCACGCTGGTCTCGAACTCCTGGACTCAAGCAATCCATGCACCTCAGCTTCCCCAAAGTGCTGAGATTACAGGGGTGACCCACTGCATTCAGCCACTACTCTAGATATCTACTAAGTATGTGGGGGAAAGAAAAAAGATCCAGTAGTACACACCTAAAGCCAACAGATTTATATTTGGTACTGCAAATAGACAGACCTAAATTCTGAAAGAGAGTCCTGACCTCAAAATCAAAAGAATCTTCAAATTAAAAAACCAAATTTGTTTTGTAAAGCCAAACTGTAGAACAAAGTATAGAAACTGTTAGTCCTAATACCTACTGGTTGGCTAACCTAGTCACACAATACCATTCTCCTTTGCCCACTTCCTACTAGAGAGATGAGAATGCCACGGTGGCTTTGCAGGGCCTGCTTATGGCTAGGACTTGCCTCATGACTCAGTTCTGGCCAACAAGACCTAAGGGAAAGTTGGCTAGGGGCCTCTGGGGACTCTTTTTGCTTCCTGCAAAGGAGCAGGGTAAGAGAAGAAGCCCCTGGCACCATTCCTTACCCCTTCTTCCTGCCTTGAATGAAGACCCAATGTCTGGAGCTGTAAGCAACCATCAGGCAAATGTGAGAATAATGAGGATAAACTGAAAATACTAAGGATAGCAGAATAGAACAGAAAAAAACCTTACATTGTTATACTGTCAGAACCCACCATGAAACCACCACCTCTCAATTTCTTGTGAAGTAAATTATAAATGCCTTTATGGTTTAAGCTACAGTAAGTAACTCCATTAATGTCTACATAATTCCTGATAAATCTAGTTCCAAATCAACAATCCTATCCCCTCCAACCTCAGGCTTAAGAATGCTGTTTACGTGTATTACAATTCAATTAATCTATCTTAAATACAAAAATAAGCTGCAGATCACTTGTATAACCAGTGAAACTGTTGGACCAACTCTTCAAATAAAGTATAATTTGGAAAAAAAAACAAAACTCAGTACCATTTTATGACTGTGCTGCAAATAATATTCAACATTCTCTTGTTTCATTTTCTCCAGCCCTTTATATGAAATTACTTTTTCCATAGTTCTCTGCTGAAGAGGCTCTGCAACATTTTCAACCCATTTTTTATGTAACATCTCTTTTCTTCTTTCCTTAGAAGTATCCAGATTCTGAAAATATGTATCCAATCTCTAGTGAAGTGATACAAACAAGGAAAATAAATTATAAAAAATTGTTTGACTTGTCGTCATTTGAGTAAGGGGGAAAAATCACTTGATCCCACTACTAAGCTCCCAGCCACATTCAGATTGCAAAGTCCCAGTAGAAAATAACTGAACCACAGAATCAAGTGCAGGAAGAGAAGCTGAGAACACAGAGCAAAAGAACTCATATAAAGTTCTAAACCACACCGTGCCTTCAGATTAAACTGCATCCAACTCATGAACCAGATTAAGCTACTGCTAACTCATTAAACTCTTGTTTCTTTTTCAGGATTTCCAAGAATTCCCTGGTCACCCATTGTGTGTCTAGCCTTCACCATCAGGAAAGTCTGTGACAAAATTGGTAGAGTAGAAAGAGCACTAGAAAATTCTTTGATACCTCTCTCTGGCCTGTAAAAGACAGATAATCGCACCTACCTCTCTGGATGCTTAAATGGGAATTTATGTGCACTTTCTTTATAAATTGTAAATTACAATTCAAATGTCAAAGTTTTCTTCTTTTTTTGTTTAAAAGACAGGGTCTCACTCTGTCACCCAGGCTGGAGTATAGTGTATGATCACAGTTCACTACAGCCTCAACCTCCTGGGCTCAAGCCATCCTCTTGCCTCAGCCTCCTGAGTAGCTGGGACTACAGGTGTGTGCCACCATGCCTGGCTTTTTTAATTTTCTGTAGTGACAGGGCCTCACTATGTTGCCCAGGCTGGTCTTAAACTCTCAAACTCCTGGTTTCAAGCAATGCTCTTGCTTCAGCCTCCCAAAGTATTATTATAACTCTGTCTCTCTCACTGAAATTAAATACCCCTTAAGCTAATTTCACAGTGATTATTAGTTATTGATTGGTCACAACCCTTAAAAGCTTATTTTGTAGGCCGGGCGCAGTGGCTCAAGTCTGTAATCCCAGCACTTTGGGAGGCCGAGGCGGGTGGATCACGAGGTCAAGAGATCGAGACCATCCTGGTCAACATGGTGAAACCCCGTCTCTACTAAAAATACAAAAAATTAGCTGGGCATGGTGGTGCGTGCCTGTAATCCCAGCTACTCAGGAGGCTGGGTTCAGGCAATTCTCCTGCCCCAGCCTCCTGAGGTTGCGGTGAGCCGAGGTCCCACCATTGCACTCCAGCCTGGGTAACATGAGTGAAACTCCGTCTCAAAAAAAAAAAAAAAGAAGCTTATTTTGTTTCTAATAGTTTTATATATGCCCACTGCAATGTGGGAACATAAAGAAGCAAGTGTGGGTAGGAAGGAATTTCTATTCGGTCCCAGGACAAAGAGAAGGCACAATCAGAACAATTTCTCAGATCCCTTCAGGACAGGTCCAAGTGGGATTAGGGATCTCTTAGTGATCCTGCAAGAAGGGGGAACAACCTCAGATCCATGTAGTACAAACAATTCGAGGATCCTCATTCTCCCTGCAAAATGAATCTCTTGGATCACAGAACATAAACTCTTGGCCATGTTGTTCTGCACACTCTTGCTCCCCTAGAACACTCTTAGAATGCAGTGTGGAGCCAACTCTTACCTTCACAACAGAATTTTCTCTAAATAATATTGCATGTACTGCTTCATCAATGTCTTCTCTAGCTAATACCTAAAATTACAGAATTGAACATTAGGATGTAAATCCTGAAGAAACAAACTATAATGACAAAACTCAGTGTACTTTACCCAATAGTTTTGGTATAAATCTTGAGGCTTATTCTGTAACATAAAAATACTGAAAATTTCTAAACCCATTCTCCATGAACCCATCAACCAGGCTCAAGAGTGCTTAACTCAGAGTCAATCATGTTTCATTCAATAAATCCCTACTCATTTTCAGCACCCCCCCCAGACTATTTTAAAACAAACACCTGATAGTATATCATTAAATTATGTTTTAAAGCACTAAGCAGCTTATTAAAAGGATCCTCTATAAAGTGAATCCTCTTTCCAGGCATTCAGTAGGTGTTTTTTGTTTGTTTCTTGAGGCAAAGTCTGGCTCTGTCACCCAGGCTGGAGGGCAGTGGTAAGATCTCAACTCACTGGAATCTCCCCACCCCCAGGGTTCAAGTGATTCTCCAGCCTCCCAAGTAGCTGGGATTACAGGCATGTGACACCACATCTGGCTAATTTTTATATTTTTAGTAGAGACAGGGTTTCATCATGTTGGCCAGGCTGCTGTCGAACTCCTGACCTCAAGTGATCCACCCACCTTGGCCTCCAAAGTGTTGAGATTATAGGCATGAGCCACTGTACCCAGCCAGTAGGTGTGTTTTGAAGGGCCCTTGAAGTCTCCTGCCTTTTGCTAGATATCTTCATAAGTCAAAAGCCACAGAAAGTTTGATTTAGTTCAACTGGTCCAGAGTCTCAGAGCTAATTAGTGGGAGCTCATGGCCCCCAACCAATACCGTCCACATCTAGGGACCTGCTGTTTCCATTATGAGTGTGGGTAAAGCTGATGCATTTTAATCCCTACTTTAGGCCTTTTTCAATTGGATCATTATGAACTGATCTCTAGTTTTTATTCTTATAGGACTAAGTACAAACAAATGAAAAGGCAATAAAATCCAGTATCTGGAAGAGATATTACTATTACAAAAATGATCGCTGATGAAAAATGATACAGGTTCTTAGAACTGTGTTATTCAATCTCTGATTGTTCTTTCTGTTCTGTCACACTGAATGCATCAAAACAAACTAAACCCCAAACTCAAATACCAAATCTGTGAATAAGAGAAATCTCAAAAAGGAAAAGTTGTTCTTTTTACCCATATATTTAATAGCTTCACATGAGATCTAAAAATGACATTCCAACAGCTACCCAGGTCTTCTCTAAAATAAAGCTCTCTTTGTAATATAAACAGGATCTTGCTTTAAAGTCTTCTCAGACTTATTTTAAGATGACAGGCCAGGCAGGGTGGCTCATGCCTGTAATCTTAAGTGCTTTGAAGGTCAAGGCAGGAGGATTACTTGAGCCCAGGAGTTTGAGGTTACAGTGAGCTATGATTGGGTCACTGCACTCCAGCCTGGGCAATCAGCAAGAACCTATCTCTAAAATAATTTTAATTAAAAAGATGGCAACTAAAAAAGTATGTAAAACAATTAAACATGTACCCTGACACTACAATATTAGAATCGATCCGTTTATTTGGAGAAGTAGAAACATGTTGACAAGTATCTTGGGAAGTCACTTTTTTTTTTTTTTTTTTTTTTAAATAAAGATGGGGTTTCACCATGATGGCCAGGCTGGTCTTGAACTCCTGACCTCAGGTGATCCACCCACGGCCTCCCAAGGGAAGTCGCCTTTCTAAAGAACATCCTAGTAAGACTGTTAGCAAATGTTATGTACACTCTCAAGTTGGATTCTCAAATAGTCCTTTTTTCCTTAAAGAAATTAAACGGTTTTTGTCTTTGATGGCTCTTCTTTGTGATTTTGCCAGAAAATATAAGGAAAAGGTCATGATTTGCGGCGGCACTTCCGAAATCCACGGCCTTCTGTGCACACACAAAAATTAAGCGTCTCACTACTCTGACCGCCACTAGGGCAAAAGCGGAAAAATAAAGGATACTTCCAAGAGTTTTTCATAGTGAGGTAAATCACAGAATGATACAAAATAATGAAACTTTATGAGAAAATCATTACCAGACCCCAAAGTATGCGGAATGGACTGGCAAGCCCAGACGTGGCTTCTCCTGCGGGGGAGCTAGGGTTGCTGCCTTCCACCACCCGCCCGCCCAGTTGATGCGCCGGCCCCTAGGCTGGCGACTGGGAACACTCTTGGCCACACTCTAGGCCAAATCTGAGCCTGGAACTTTTCCCTTCAACTCCAGGCACTGTCCCAGTCCTGAGAACAGAAGCATGATTGAGATAAACAATTCCCAAACTCGAGGCGTCCCACCGCCAAAACGACGTCTCAAAACGCCATGTTATTTCACCTCCATTAAAGAAACGGACTCAGGCTCTGGCCATTCTCTTAATTTTTCTGGCCTGAAATGTTGATCATAACTCGAAGTTTTGGTGGCAGCCATGGACAGAAGAATCCCTGAGGGGAAAAAAGATAAACTGAGGCTGAGGAAGCCAGTTACCGTTGAGAGCCAGGCCTGGGGGCTCGGGGCAGGGGCGGGGAGCGGCGGGGCGGGGGTTCGAATTCCGCTCGGCCCCTTTCTAGCTGAGCCGTCACCCAACAAACCGGGATCCCCGGCGTCCCGGGCGCTTCAACAGGGCCGGCTACCCGCGCCCGTGCAGCCCTCGGGCCAAAGCAGGTCCTTCCCCTGGGCCGCACTGCCCTGGCCCTGGCCGCGGCCCTCCCCGGGCTCCGGGACCCTCCCCGGGCTCCGGGACCCTCCCCGGGCTCCGCGGCCCTCCCCGGGCTCCGGGACCCTCCCCGGGCTCCGCGGCCCTCCCCGGGCTCCGCGGCCCTCCCCGGGCGCCGGGACCCTCCCCGGGCTCCGCGGCCCTCCCCGGGCGCCGGGACCCTCCCCGGGCTCCGCGGCCCTCCCCGGGCTCCGGGACCCTCCCCGGGCTCCGCGGCCCTCCCCGGGCTCCGCGGCCCCAGGCCCGCAGGCCTCCCCCGGCCCCACCTCAGGCCAGCTCCGGGGGTAGTCGCAGGCCCCGCGGCTCCGTCTGGGTGTGGCTCCCCAGCGGCCGCGTCCTGGTGCTGCTGCGAATGAAGGAGCCCTTGGGCCCGCTTATCGGGGGCGCATGCGCCACACAGGCCCCGGGTTGCGACCCCAAAGCCAGCTGGACCGCGACGCGGACGTCCGGGGAAAGGGAAGGCGCCATTTGATTTCACAGCAAACGGAAACGCGGTGATGAAGCCTAGAACCTGGCCCTCGCCCTCCCCTCGCGGCCCCGGCGGGCCGACGGGCCTTCAACCGCCAAGGCCCCCGCCGTCATTCTGGACTTTCATCGAGGCATGTACATTAATAGCAAAGAGAATTTGCCATTTACCTGTAAGATTGAGGGCGACAACGTAAGAGAGGAATGGTTTTTAGCTACGCGTCTAGCGTCTTACACGCTCCCACCGAAGGGCGAAGGTGCCACAGGTGGACCTGGTTTGGATTCTGAGGTGAAGAAACCGACTTCACACCACGTGGTCTAATCAGGAAAACACGAAACACTACGTATTTAGTGAGATCTAGGAATTATTGTTAATAGTTTAAGGTACATTATCACAACCAAGATTTGACATTGGTGCCATCAAGATACAGGATATTAACACCACTACAAGGATTACTCTGTTTTCAGCCAATGTTTTTTCAGGTTTTTTTTTTTTTTTAGTCCTGCCTGTTTCTCTCGTCCTTCTGGGATTCTGATTACATGAATATTATTATAGCCCGTAGGCCTCTGTTCTTCTCCCCCTCCTCCTGCCCTCAGTCTGTTTTCTCATTTTTTTCAGATTGGGTCATTTCTATCATTCTATCTTCCAGCTCATGGATTATTTCCTCCATCTTCTCCATTCTACTGTTGAGCTTATCTGCTGAGCTTCTTATTTTGGTTATTGTAATTTTCAATTCTACAATTTTCGTTTGGTTCTTCTTTATATCTCCTGTTTGCTCAGGGTTAATTTTTCATTTGTTTCAAGTGTATTCATATTTGCTCACTGAAGCATTTTTCTCATAGCAACTTTAAAAGTCTTTGTGGGCTTATTCCAACATCTTTGTCATCTCAGTGTTGGTCTCTATTGATTGTCTTTTTCATTCAACTCAAGATCTTCCTGGTTCCTGGTGTGATTATCTTTTATTGAAGTCTGAATATTTTCAGTTTATGAGATTCTGAACCTTACTTAAGCTTTCTGTTTTGGCTGGCTTTCTCCAACACCAGTCTAACATGGTGAATGAGGTTACCTTAACATTATGGCCAGATGGAGATGGGAATCCAGGTACCCCAGCTGGCCTTCATTGACACTTGAGAAGCCAGAGTTCCTTATAACTGCTGTGTAGACCATGATTTAGAGATTTTATTCAGGCTAACTGTGGGCCCATTCAGCAAATTAGTTCCTTATATGGAATAATCTTCTCAAGAAAAGGAGCTGAATCTATCTCACCTTTACATGTTTCTCATAACATGGGACCATCCATGACTGACCCAAATAGCAGGCAAACAGAAAATTGCTGTTGAGTAGACAGCAATTTGAGTAGACAGCAGAAAGGTATAATACACTGATGGCTTAAACTACATTAAGTATAAGCAAAAGGCAATTCAAAATAGGATTTATAATTTCTACCTAGTTGCTTCCTTACTTCATTTGAAAACAAAAGTTTCCCGGATTTACTGAATCAAATTATTTCAATCTCATATGATCTAAAAGCTTATCTGAGCATTTGTCTGTTTACTTGATGTTCCCTGGCAATGTCTTTTTTACATGGTGGAAATAAAGATTCTCCTTTCAGTAGGTAGTGCTTCACTGAGTCTTCACCCAGGCTCTTGCTGCAGGCCCTGTGTCTCTTTCTATATACTACAACTAAGTCAGTTAATCTCACAGTATTAAAATCTTTGGTTTACTATCTGTTTCTCCCACTAACTTTAGGGCAGAGGGCCTATGTCTGCTTATCTTTATATCCCCAGAACCTGAGCATCTGGTAAAAATAGGCACTTAAATACTTACTAAGTGAATGATGAATAAATAAATGAATGAGACATAATCCCGACATCTACACGAAATGAAATTTCAATGTCAACATATTAAAAAAAACATTTAAAACACTGAACATTCGTCTATTAAGAGAGCATCAAGCCTTTTGAAGCTTTGCAGTAGGCCTCTGGTTGCCATTTTGGCCTGGCTAGTATTTTTAGTCATTTATAACTGTAACAGAGAAAAGCATTTCTACCCAAAAAGTCTCTTTAAATAAAAATGCCTATGCCAGTCATGGTGGCTCATACATGTAATCCCAGCACTTTTCGAGGCCAAGATGGGAGGATCGCTTGAGGCCAGGTGTTCAAGACCAGCCTGGGCAACACAATGGGACCTCGTCTCTACAAAAAGTTTAAAAATTTGCTGGGCATGGTGGCATGCACCTGTAGTCCCAGCTACTCAGGCAGCTGAGGAAGGAGGATCACTTGAGCCCGAGAGGTTGAGGCTGAAGTGAGCTGTGCTTGCATCACTGCACTTTAGCTGGGAGACAGAAGAACACCTTGTCTCAGAAAACAAAAATCCCAGTGTTTGTGAAGTGTACATATTAACCTTAACCATAAGAACAAACTTGCACCTAGTTGTTTTTTTTTAAGACGGAGTCTCACTCTGTTGCCAGGCTGGTGTGCAGTGGCGTGATCTTGGCTCACTGCAACCTCCGCCTCTTGGGTTCAAGCAGTTATCCTACCTCAGCCTCCTAAGTAGCTGGGACTACAGGTGCATGCCACCACGCCCAGCTAATTTTTGTATTTTTAGTAGAGACGGGGTGTCTTCATCTTGGCCAGCCTGGCCTCTATCTCTTGACCTCATGATCCACCCACCTTGGCCTTCCAAAGTGCTGGGATTATAGGCGTGAGCCACGGCGTCCAGCCCTAGATTTTTAAAGTGTCAAATAGATATAGGCTGCCTTTTATAAAGAAAACTTTGGAAATTTCTAAACTTACTCACCTGAACAGAGGAATGGCTATGGAAAAGGCATTAATGACTGATTGATTCATGGAACAGAACTGATTTACCAAAACTTTTCTCCTTCTAGATAAAGTCAAGGTGCAGTAACAATATCCCTGCATGCTGATGTGATTTCTAGAATTCTGTTTTAACTGATGAGGTAATATAAAAGGAAAAAAATGCCAGAACTAGAGTATTATAAAATCCTTCAGGGTCTCCCCATAAATTCCAAACCCCTTACCATGACTGTAAGATTCCTGCCTGGCTTTTCAGGCTCAGCTTTCTTCAGTGATTCCTGCCCTCCTTGCTCCACATGGTGGATTAGTGATGCCTGCATGGTCCCATCTCTCTGGCAAATCCCTGACTCCACTCACAGAGGGAGACTCTTTTTTTTTTTTTTTTTTTTGAGACGGAGTCTCACTCTATTGCCCAGGCTGGAATGCAGTGTTGTCAGCTCACTGCAACCTCCACCTCCCAGGTTCAAGCGATTCTCTCTCTGGAGTGGCTGGGATTATAGGCACCCACCACAACACCTGGCTAAAATTTTTGTATTTTCGGTAGAGGTGGGGTTTTGCCATGTTGGCCAGGCTAGTCTCAAACTCCTAACCTCAGGTGATCCACCCGTCTCAGCCTCCCAAAGTGCTCGGATTACAGGGGTAAGCCACCATGCCCAGCCAGAGGTGGACTCGATGGCAGCGCCTCCCTACACGACCCTGTTCTTGGCTGTGGCTAATTGGTCAAGGAATGCACAGCTGACCCAACTCTAGGATCAGATTCCCCTAGCTTTCTTCTAGGATTAGACTTCTAACCAAAACGGACACTTGGGAAGGTGTGATCACGTTCATGACAATAGCTTAGAAGGGTCTGAGATGTACACTTCTCAGGGGCCAGTGCTATCAAGGTTCCTGCCCTTCCTGTGGAATTCAGTTTTTTCTCAGGGTTCTCTAAGATGCTTTGGCACTCTTCCAATGGATTCTTTTTTTTTTTTTTTTTTTTTAATCCCAACCACCAGACCACCAGGGACCGATGGATTCCATTTGTGCTTATGTTAGCTGTGGTTAGTTTGCTACTTACAACACAAAGGATCTTAAATATAGAAATAGTACAAGGCTTCAGAGGAAATGTGAGGTATTTAGAATTGATATTCATCTCAAAATGCAAGGAAAGGAAAGGCATCTACTCTTCACCATGTGGAATGGGCAACTATATTTGTGATACGATATCTGGGATTTGCTTCAAAGTCATCCAGTTAGGGTCAAGAAGCAGGTATGCATATACACAAAGCAAGACTGGCCATGAGGTAATCAGTATTGAAGCTGGATGTCAGATACGTAAGGATTCATTATATAATTATCACTATTTTTCTATACTTCTCTGAAATTGTTCATAGTATAAAGCTTTTAAAAATCTAGTTTTCAGCCGGGTGCAAGGGCTCACGCTTGTAATCCTAGCACTTTGAGAGGCTGAGGCAAGTGGACCACTTGAGCCCAGGAGTTTGAGATCAGCCTGGGCAACATGGTGAAATCCTATCTCTACAAAAAGTAACTGGGCATGATGGTGTGCACCTATAGTCCTAGCTGCTCAGGAGGCTGAACCGCAGAGAATTGCTTGAGCCTGGGAGGTCCAGGCTGCAGTGAGCCGTGATCATCCCACTACACTCCACCCTGGGCAACAGAACGAGCCCGTTTCAAAATAAAAAAATCTAGTTTCACATAGAACCATATGTTGATTGGGGGTGAGACATTGGGAGACTGGATAACTGTCATGGTAGAATAATTTAAGGAGGATGAGAAATATGGAATGAGAGAAAAATGGATAAAGTAAGACAATATAAAGCTCAGATGCCAGAATGTGCAAGGCATTAAAATATAGGGCCACCATTTTTAATAAATTTTACTCCGTCTGTGGCCCTCAAGTCATAAATTGATCCCGTAGGTTGCTGAATTGCAACTCCAGTTGGATTAACATTGCATCCAGTCTTTTATACAAAATCTAGGGCATTGACTAGGAAAGAGGGGGATCTTGGGGAACAGACAGAACCGAAGAAGTCAGACTCCCCCAAGTCCTTTTAAAAACGTTACCATGGTGTCCCTTTGCCTAAAGAAAACAGAATTCCACTCTCCTGTGCTCTGTGTCCTACCATGTCTTCCTGTGACCAGGATTCAAACTCAACATAAGCCAGAGGGCAATGTTTAGAATCAGAATCAGCAAGCGAGTAATTATACCCCAAATGATTTTTTTGGTTTTTGAGATGAAGTCTTGCTCTGTCACCCAGGCTGGAGTGCAGTGATGCAATCTCAGCTCACTACAGCCTCCACCTCCAGGGTTCAAGCAATTCTCATGCCTCAGCCTCCCAAGTAGCTGGGATTACAGGTGTGCACCATCACACCTGGCTAATTTTTCTATTTTTTAGTAGAAACAGGTTTTTGCCATGTTGCCCAGGTTTATCTCAAACTCCTGAACTCGACTGATCCACCTGCCTTGTCCTCCCCAAAGTGCTGGGATTACAGGTGTTAGCCACCTCACCTGGCCAACCCCAAATGAATTTTTAAATTTTCTATAAAGAATGTTAGAAAAACCCAGGAAGGATATGTGGATGTGGCCATGAAGGGTGCATGACCAAAGGGAGCATACCTTAGTTTAGGAACAAACCAAATAAATGAAGATGGACACTAAGTAAGGTAGCTATAATTAATTTTATTGGTTCACTCGGCAATATTTCTTAACATCTGGGGAAAATACATGGTATTGCCATTTCTTAATTATCACAGACACTGAACTTAAAAATTAAAGGAAGTTTGTTGCAGATGCTTTTTCTTAGAGACTCGACAATTCTTGAGTGCCTTCCTTGGCCTTCACCCTGACTCCCGCAAGCAGACAACTTCCTCTGAAGCAGCCTTATTTTGTGTATCCTTTCACCAATCAAGGATCAGGGTGTGTGCTCCTTGGTTGCTAAAACCTTTTGAAGGTGACAAAAGGGAAGAGTTGAGTGTGGTATGGGGATGAGGGGCTTGCAAGAGCAGAAAGAGTTCCCCAGCTAAGCTAAGCTGATCCCCCTGGAAGCCTGTCCTGCCAGAGCCAGCTGACTCACTTCACAGGCAGTGTCTCCCCCAAGCCTCTTGCCTCAGCCTTTCCTTGCACTGTCTGGATTCAGAAGCACTTAGAGATTCAGGGATATGGCCAAATAGATGGGGTGGATCACTGATGTGTGATATGATTTGAGGGAACACCTGTGGTCCCAGCTTTCAGATGGCAACATGTTTGGAGAACTAATTTCCACTAGGATTGTTGTGATTTAGAAAATACTAGGTTCCTTACTTCCCTTTTCTCTTCAACCTCTAAATCTCTATTCTGTGTCTCACTAACAGCTGATGATCTCACTTCATTGAGAAAATGAGTAAACAGAAGGAAACAATCTTCCTTTGCAAAATCCATTGAGCTAGTTTGACGTACATCCATGTATGCGGCCTTCCCTCGCATACAATGGATAGTGTCCTGTCCACCTGAGTCCAGGGTGCTGCCTCCTCACCTGCGGAAGGACTCTGCCCTTCTATTATGCCCCTCTCTCTCCAGCATCATTAAATCTCCCTCTCTACAGGAGCATTCCCATCAGGAAACATACATGTTATAATATTCATATCGCTGATAAAAATGTTCTCTTGCCTTACCCTCTCCAGCCACTTTATAGCAAAACCCCACAAAAGCGTTGCTTATTCTGTCTCCACAGCCTCACCCCATCACTCCTGAACCCACTGTAATCAAGCTTTCCTTCCAGCTGCTCCACTTAACCTCTCTGATGAAAATCAGTGGTTACGCATACATCTCCCCAGTCGTCATTTTACCTCCCTCTCAGCAGCATTGCCACGTGGCTGAGAGTGCCCTCTTTTCTGAAATCCCTCTTCTACTGGGCCTCTGCAGCAGCACACACTTCTGCTTTTCTTCCTTCCGTACCAGCCTCTCGCTCCCTGCATGTTCCTTCACCAGCTCTGCCTCCTTGCCCCAACCTCTATATCTTGGCATTCCACAGGACTAGCCTTCGGCCCTATTCTCATTGAAACCCCGAGGTGATCACATGATTTCAGGCAGCATTTATACGAGGATGACCCTCAAACACCTATCTCCACCCCCAGTCTCCCATGAATTCCAGACCTGTACATCCACCTGCCTACTGCATATCTCCTCTTGGGTATGGGATGGGCATATACGAAGATACTGAAATTGATCTAATTTTAGTCTCAGTATCTCTTAGGGTGATAGAGGCTATGTTCCTAAGAATGAAGTAGTGGCAGTTCCAATCAGATGCTTAGAGCCAGAGACAGTCCTAAGCAAACAGCTGGAAAAGAAATCATCCATTGAGAAATTCTGAGCAATAGGAATTTTCTTTGAAGATCGCTTGGAAGTGCCCCATGAGAGAAACCATTAGCTTCAAACCCCTGCCAAGCCCAGAGACTGCCTTACACTAAAACAGATGAACATAAAATTAATAGGTAAGAACTTTCCTGCCCATCCATTTCTTCTCTTTCCTCCCTCCCACTGTGGACTCTGAAGAGATCAGAAATCACAGTGGCAAGAAACAGCGGTAAGGAATAGGACAGTAACAGGGGAAAGAGAGAAGACATTTACCTCCCTTTTCTTTCTTGTAGCTCCAGCCTCAGTAGCCCCAAACCGGAGGAAGGGGACCTTAAATGAAGATTGAAGCGTTGGTCATTATATTATACCAGCCTGACCATGTTAGTTACTGAACAGACTCTTCATAACCAGAGGCTTTTTATTATCTGAGAATGCCCAGGGCAGGGGAAGAACTAACCCCAACAGAACAGGCTTAAATGGACAGTGAGGGGAAGAGTTCAGTTGCTGGAAAATCACACCCTACGAATCCTCCTCCTGTGTTGTAATGGTTGCAATGGAATCAGCCCCAAACATGATTATTCTTCACTTTTGCGCTTCTCTCCCTGCAAACCTGCTTTCCTCCCAGACCTCCCTATGTCAGTGACTAGGACCACAATCCATCCTGGCCCTTCCGCACTGATTTCTCGCTTTCACCCACTTCCACGCTGATGAACGAGCTCTGACAGCTCCTCTCTGCCTGTGCTGGAGTCTGGAGCCCTCACTGCCTGACGGCCCTGCCTTGGCTCCAGCATCCGCAGTTGTCTGTGCAGCAGCCATGTTCTTCTTTGTACAATGTAGATTAGATATTGTTTCTCCCCTACACCAAACCTCCACCTGGCTTCCCCTTACACTTTGGATTTTATTCTAACTCCCTCTCCAGACCTGTAACCCCCACCTGCCTGGCTCCTGCCTCTGCTCCAGCCTCACCTCCCACCCTGTCTTGGCGCTCACCATCTTCAGACTCCCACTTTTTCTTGCTGTTTCCTGAACACACCAGCCTCACCCCCATCTCAGGCTTTTGCCTGGGCCCAGCCATCTGCACAACACTCTTCCCCCAGGTCTCTGCATGTCTCACTCCCTGGGAGCCTCAGGCTGCTGCACAAACATCATCTCAGAGGGGAAGTCTCCTCTGACTTCTCCACCTAAAACAGTCCCCCTCATCCGTCCTCACCCCCTCCGCCTGCTCTGTTTTCCTCAATGCACTTATTACTAACTCACGTGATGTTATATGATTATGTAGTTGACTATGGTCTATTTCCCAGTCAAAATGTAAGCTCCAGGAAATTGGAGCCTTCTCTGTTTTGTTTCCCACCGTGTCTCCAGCCCCTCAAACACTGCCTGGCTCAGAGTTGGCGCGTGTTAAAATTTTGAGGAAGCAAGCAAATAAGCACATGGGAGAATACCAAAACATGGCAGTAAACGGAGCTAAAAACACAAAAGAAAAGGTTAATACATTTTCATGCGTAAAAAAGTAGCACCCTTATCCTTTAGAGATAGGAGTGGGGAAATGGAGAGACAGTCAGAAAGGAAGGTGGCAAGATTGAAGGATTCTCAGAAGACAGGACATTCACATGCTGGTTTGTAACTGGGAGTGGGGAGGAACACTGTGACTCTAGAATACACGCCTAAAAGGCTGACTCTGGATGGGAGAACTGGAGGGAGATCCACTTAGACCCAGGAAGGGTAGGCTGGGCTAGCTCAGTCAAATGGCCACCAAGTTTAACTATCATTACCTTAGGATGAGAAATCTGTGCTCTGTAAACACCTACATTTCTTTTTTCTTTCTTTTTTTTTTTTTTTTTCCATACAGAGTTTTGCTCTTGTTGCCCAGACTGAAGTGCAATGGTGTGATCTTGGCTCACCGCAACCTCCGCCTCCCCGGCTCAAGTGATTCTCCTGCCTCAGCCTCCCGAGTAGCTGAGGTAACAGGCATGTGCCACCACACCAGGCTAACTTTGTATTTTTGGTAGAGATGGGGTTTCTCCATGTTGGTCAGGCTGGTCTTGAACTCCTGACCTCAGGTGATTCGCCTGCCTCAGCCTCCCAAAGTGCTGGGATTACAGGCACAAGCCATTGGCACCTGGCCCAATACCTATATTTCTATAAACTTTACATTTTAAATGTTGGGGCTTTTTTTCTTCATTTACTGCACATTTTATTTTCATTATGTTGGGCTGGCAGAGGAAGGAGTCATGCATCAGGGTATACAGTTGTCCTCTTGCATGGTCATTCAGACAGAACCAAGAATCCAAGTTCTAAATGTCTTTAGGTTCAGAATCTAGATCAGGGTCAGAAGAGGTTGACGGCTGCTGCTAGGGGTTGGTGGATCCGCAGACAACGGCAGACAATAGACACGGAGCTTACTGTGGAGGGCTCTTGTCTGACACCCGAAAATCCTTCTTGGAGATCACATGGGGGACCAATAATAGACAGGGGCTGATACTCAGGAGTTGGGGGGATGATCACGTCTGCACAGAGAGGACCTGAAAAGGCATCAACCTTTTATCTGTATCCCAGAAAGCTGTGTAGGGCCTCTCTGTAAGGATAGGGCCAGGGTTGCTCCTTGGCCTTGAGTTGGCCTATTTAGGAGTCCAGTATGAGCCCTGCAAACTTGTCAGCCGAAGACATCGGTGCCAGCTCTTCTTTATGCCCCTCCGCTTGAGACACTGGGCAATTCCTCTGAATGATTCATGATTATTATTCTCAGCTCTTCAAATGCAAGAAATTCCCATTCATTTAGGAAACTCTGGATCTCCTAGTTACTCGAGGTTTTAATTAACTGGTCTGGGGGTTTTCTGGTTCCCCAGTTTGATTTTCCTCCTTTACTTCCAAGGCTTTCTAGTAATTTTGGTCTGAATCTCTCTTTCTCCATTCTCATTCCTGAGTTTTCTCCCAGATTCTTTCTACCAGTCACAGGGCCTAATCCAGAGTCCACAGAGAACAAGCCCTTGCTCAGCCCTAATGCAATCAGGAGTCACAGGTGCCGAGTGCGGGAAGCGCAGGTGCTCCTCTCTGCTGCTGGAAATCTCTCCATATGGGGCTTTCACTTGTTAAATTTTACTACTTTCATTTAGTATTGGTCCTTTTGAAAATGTTCTACCTAACTCGACTGCCTTAAGGGGAACAAAATGTGGGGCCTGGCTTGGCTATGCCAAGTGGTAAATGGTAGAGACAGGGTGGAGATGGTGGAACGAGAGAGGAGCTAGGGAAATCCTGGACAGCGTGGCCTACCCACCAGGGGCACTCCCATCACGTGGCTCCACCAGGGGGCCCAGGCAGCTCTCTCTGTTCCCTCTGAATAAAGGGCACCTGCCCCTCAGCTGCTTCTAACCTATCCCCCACTACCTCCTCTCTTCTTGGAAGCCTGCCATACAGAGAGAATTCCCAGGTGCTCAGGTTTTGGTATCGGCGATTGCCACCTTATGTATTACGAAATGGGACGGCCCCAGCTCTTACCCATCCTGCTCTTCCTTCCGTTTCCCCTCCTGGCTGAAGCTCAAGGACGAAAAATGCCCTTCAGAGGTGGCCTCTTTGGCACTTGGATTCTTTGCCTTTTGATAACACAACGGTTCTTTTTCTAGACAGGATGACCCTTTGTTTCTGCAGGAAGGAACCAGAAAGGAAGGAATTCTCTTAACTCTCAACTCAATTGTAGCACTTACTTTTATTTAAATTTGAAGTTGATGAGTTCTATGTGAATTTATGTATTTTTGTGAAAATAAACATATACTTTTTTTGTGAAAATAAACCCAAATAAATAGTATTGTCTTGCTGTAGTCATAGTTTCGTCTGCAACCTCTGTGCTGCTGAATCAAACAGCTTTGGGTCCTTTGGAGTGAATGACCCCTCACAGGGTTATCCAGTTTGCCTTCCCTGAGAAGATCTAACTCTGCCAAAGACAAATATGACTTTTCCACCCCTGCTGCCAGAATTGCAATGCTACCCTTATTCACAGAAGAGAATCCAGTCTTCCTCCTTCTTCCAGAGGGAGTCTAGACTTAAGCCTCTAGTCTAAAACATAAGCCCCCATTACTCCCGCAATGCGATATTCTCCTTCACATGTGGGTCTTGCTCTGCTAGAAGGTGTATTTGAGAAAAAAATCTCTCTTTTTATATCATTTATCAAAATTAAATAGAATTAAGATGCTGATTATCCTAAAATCTTACCCAAGCAGGTTTATTTGAGACTCTGGCAATTAGGAATTGCAAAGGAACTTACTCCTTTGGACCCTAATATATAAGAATGATTCTCAATTCTATTTTTTCAATCAATCATTCTATCTTTTAAGGCCTTCAGCTACCAAGGGAATAGGGCTTAGTTTGGACACTTCCATTTTTCCCTCAATTGTGGCTCCTATTCAAGAGACACCCCAGCAAATGGTTAAACTACACCTCAAGGACAGTAAGCCCATGTTGGCCAGTGCCCACCCCAGCCATCACCCAGCTCCCAGGTCTTCAGGAGACAATTAGTCATTCTCTCTGCTGGTCATACCAGCATCTCCAAAAGCCCTCCAGCTTCTGCCACACTGTATTTATTCAACAAATTCCGAGCTGTTCAGTAAAAGGGAACTACTGCAGCTTACTTTGGGCACTTTTTAGAAACAGAGAATTGAAGGCTGATCTCCTAGAAATAGTCATATAAGCTCATTTTTCTTCTACCTTCCTAGGTTCTTTTTTTATTGTTATCAACAGTTTTAATAAGGTATAATTTATATGCCATAAAATTCACTCATTCTGAGTATACAAGTCAATGGTTTTCAGTATATTTACCGAGTTATGCAACCACCACCACAATCTTATTTTAAAACATTTTCATCAACCCCAAGGCCCCATGCTCATTAAGTCACTCTCCACTCCCATCCCCAGCCCAAGGCAACTACTATCTACCTTCTGTCTTTATAGATTTGCCTTTTCTGAACACTGTCTATAAAAAAAAAATACTATAGGCTTTTGTTATTGGCTTCCCTTCACAGTGTACAATGGTTTTGAAGTTTGTCTATGTTGCAGCATGTATCAGCATTTCTTTCCTTACAGTTGCCAAGTAATATTCCACTGTATGGATATACCACATCTTGTTTATCCATTCATCAGTTGATAGACATTTGGGTTGTTTCTGCTTTTTTGGTTGTTCTGAATAATTATGCTATGAACATCCATGTCCTAGCCTCTATGTGGATATATGTTTTCATTACTCCTGAGTAGAAACCCAGGAGTGGAATTACTAGGTCACATAATAATTTAATGTTTAACATCTTGAGAGACTGCCATGCTGTTTTCCAAAGTTGCTGCACCATTATACACTCCCTCCAGCAATATCTGAGGGACAGCACTACTTTTAACCAGATAGTTACAAGTTACGTACTTATGTAGAGACATCTCTTACTTTTAATTCTATAACTAGTTAGCTGAGATGATTCCCCACATTACATGCTTAGTATTTGATAGTATGTACCACTTCTCTGTTTATAGCGTCTTTGCACTCTGGGCACAATATTGTAATACTACTACCCACCAAAACCAGTCCCAAACTCCATTTATACTACTCCAATTCAATTTTAAATCTCCTACCCTTTTAGCTTTAGTACAAGTTGTTAACATTTTTTTTCCATTTCTGCGCTTGTTATTTCTGTGTTAGCTACTTGTTCTTTCAGACCAGAAAAGCCTGGGGAGTGTTGCCACCTCACCAGACACAGTGGTGGGAGATGCCCGGTGTCCTGCCGCCATGCAACCTGGTGTGTGCCTCAGTACTGTCTCAGCAACGTGAAAGGACGGCAGGGGGTGGCAGCTCAGCCTAACATCTTAGTGAAAGAAGAGCAAAGCTATGGAAGAGCAGACTTACGTGTAAATAACTGTTTTTCCTTCTTCCTGGGATTCCAGAAGAGGAGTTCTTGCCAAGGGTTTCAAATCAAAACTACAGTCGTTAAAATTCACTTTCACCTTTAACCTTTAACAAGATAACAAGTGTGAGAAGGTTTTTTTGTTCTTTTTTGCTGTTGTTTTTTGAGACAGGATCTCTCTCACTCAGGTTGCAGTGCAGTGGTTGTAATCACAGCTCACTGCAGCCTCAATCTCCTGGGCTTAAGAGATCCCTCCCACTTCAGCCGCCTTCCTAAGTAGCTGGGACTACAGGCATGCACCACCATGCCAAGGTATTTATTTTTATTTTTTGTAGAGATGGGGTCTTGACATGTTGCCCAGGCTGGTCTCAAACTCCTGGCCTCAAGTGATCCTCCTGCCTTGGCCTCCCAAAGTGCTGAGATTATAGGCATGAGCCACCACACCTTGTGGTATGAGAATGTTTTGAAAACAATACTAACTCACATTTATATAGGAATTATTATTATACATTGACTGCTAAATATAGAGACCCAAACATCATTCTCCAAACTGGTATACATTCTTGGATGAAATTAGTTGTTTTAGAGTTTCTGAAACCATGATGGAGATTGATTTACTATTTACTGAGAAGCAAGAATCAGCTAAGCAAACTTTAAAGTACTCCCTATCCACAAGAGCTTAAACTCCAAAGAAAAAAGAAGCCACAGAGATTGTGCTGTTTATAAGCATTATGTAAAATGCTTTTCTCCAGAGAAAATCCAAACATTCCATTTCCCGGTCCCTTGCCATGGGGTGGCAGACAGGTACCTTAGAGTCTTCCAATCTTGCACCCATGCAAGGATTGACTGGAAGGGTGATACTGGCCCTGTGTAGAACATACATTTTGCTGGCACAAAGAAGACATAGAATGTAGTATAGCAATGTGTGAAATGCTTCAAGAAGAAAATGATCCAATCACCAAGATAAGAAAGCACTAAGGGCCTATTGGGAATGAACAAGCATACTGGGGGGAAAAGGAAATTTAAGAAATTAGAATCTTAATATTAAACACAGTGAAGAAAGAATTAGCACACTGGAAAATATATACAAAGAAATTACCAAGGGAAATGGAAAATATGAAGAATATATAAAAAGATATTAAGATAATAATAAGGCCTAATATATCTAATCTGAGCCCAGAAGCAGAATGCAAAGAATGAAGAAAAAGCTATGTTTAAAATGATAATTGCTGTATATTTTCCTGAACTGATGATAAACATGAATACAGAGATCCAGGAAGCACAACATATATACCAGTAGGTTAAATAAAAAGAAATCCAGCCAGATGTGGTGACTCACGTTTGTAATCCCAGGACTTTGGGAGGCTGAGGTGGGCAGATTGCTTGAGTCCAGGAGATCGAGACCAGCCTGGACAACATGGTGAAACCTCATCTCTACTGAAAATACAAAAATTAGCCAGGTGTGGTGGTGCATGCCTGTAGTTCCATCTGCTTGGGGAGGTGAGAAGTGGTGATTGCCTGAGCCCAGGAGGTAGAGGCTGCAGTCAGCCAAGATCACGCCACTGCACTCTAGTCTGAATGACAAATCAAAACAACAACAACCAAAAAACAAAACCCATACCCAGACACCAGCAGTGAGAATGCAGGACACCTAAAGGCAAAGAGAAGATCTTCATAGCAGCCACAGAAAAAGGACAATCAGAATGACAGCAGACTTTTCAAAAACAACAATAGAGGCCAAAAAACGAGAGAAGTATGTCTTTAAAACATTAAGAGAAATAAATGTCAACCTAGAATTGTGTGCTCATCAAATTATCTTTAAAGGTAAACAAAAATTGAATTTTAAAGGCTGAACTTCAGAAAAAAAGAAAATGGTCCCAGAAATTTGGTATAAAATGGAAGGAGGGACAGGATACATATTAAATTCTTTCCTCTTTGTAGCTGTCTCCCATATCTATATCTGCTACATAACTGTACAGAACTCCTATTGGTAACTTCAGATGGGATGTTTCCCTTTGGATGTACCCAAACTAGAGATCATTTGTTAAATTAATAAAATTATAAAACAAAGCACTGAGTGATTTAAATCCCAAGAAACTGTTGTCGTTGTTCCTCCTCATTTTTCTAATTTTATCCAAGGTTCAACCTTTGTCTGCTTTCTGTTAGGCTAGCTGACTCTTCTTTGTGTGTCCATAATAATATGTGCATATCAGCATTATTGTGTTTACCACATTGTAATAGAGTGATCTGTTTAAATATGTCTTCTCTATTAGATTGTGAACTCTTTAAAGGCAATTACAACTTAATACATGATTCTTTGATGAATGAATTAATGTACTGTTATAGGATGAATTGTGTGTACCCAGAAAAATATCTTCCAATCCTAATCCCTGGCATCCTTATTTGGAAATAGGATCTTTGTAGGTATTATCAGGTTAAAATGAGGTAATACTGAACTAGGGTGGTGGACCCTATTCCACTGACAGGTGTCCTTATCAGAAGAGGGGAATTTGGACACAGAGAGAAGAAGATGTGAAAATGGAGATAGAGACTGCAGAGATAAGGCTATAAACCGAGGAACACCAAGGATTGCTGCAACCATCAGTAGCTAGGAAAGAGACAGGGAGCCTTCAGAGATAGTGGCCCTGCTAATATTTTGATGTTAGCCTTCCAGCCTCCAGGACCGTGGAGAATAGATTCCTGTTGTTTTCAAGGTGCTCAGTTTGTAGTACTTTGTAATGGCAAGCCCAGTAAACTAATACATACAATAACAATTCTCAAAACTTTGAACTCCTCTCTGACTCTCAGTTCTCCCTGGCCTTCCAAATGTAGTCACCAAAATCTAGAATTCCTTTGTGTCATCATATCAATTTCTTTGTTTCATTTCTCTTGCCACCATCCTAAGACTCTTATTGCCACAAATGTGGATTCTTATTTTTTTAAAAAAATTCTTCAGTGATCTCCAGCCTCCAGTCCTATCCTATATCCAAACTGTCATATACCTCCCATGTCAGATTAAAGTTTCTAAAAACATCGTCTCCAGCATCTCACTCCCTCCTCAGCAATCCTGACTCCCCATTCCCTACATGATAAACTCCCAACTCGTTAGCTAGCATTGAAGATTCTTTGCAAAATGGCTGCCACCTAGATTCACAGACTTAATCAATGACTGGTCTTCCATTCATTCATTAGACAAACAAGTAAACAGGTGCAAACTGTGTGATCCATGAAAAAGTACATGGTGGGACAAAAGAGAGACTACTCTGTGCAGCCTAGTATAAGGAGGTGGTTTGGAATGACTTCAGAGAGGAATTTTTTAAGTGGCATTTTAATAGAGTCTTGGAAACAATGTTTTCCCCCAAAAAAATGAGGGTTAGAGAGAAAGCCCAGCTTGTGCAAAGGCACAGATGTGTGAAGAATACCATTTATTTAGGTAGTTGTGGAAGACCTGGTATTGTTGGAGTACAGAGTAGAAGGTAGAGAAAAATCAGCCCAATCTCATGTCATACTAAAGAGATCACATTTAACAGAGGGACACAGGAATCACTAAAGACATTAAGTTGGGCAGTAACATGACATGCCACATTTCACCCCAGTAGCGCCATGCAACATAAGGGAAAGTTTGGCACTGTGTTTCAGAATGTAGACTATGGAGTCAGAGACCTGAGTTCAGTTTCTGAGTCTACCACATTATGGCTATATGGCTATAAATAAGTGGTTTCAACCTGGTGTGTATTGGAATCATCTGAGGATCTTTAAAAAAGACTCATTTCTAGGTCCCACGCTCAGAGATTCTGACTTCATTTGTCTAGGGTATGGCTTGGCTATCTGAGTTTTATTTATTGATTGATTGATTTAGAGACAGAGTCTCACTCTGTTGCCCAGGCTAGAGTGCAGTGGCATGATCTTGGCTTACTGCATCTCCACCTCCCAAGTTCAAGTGATTTTCCTGCCCCAGCCTCCTGAGTAGCTGGGATTATAGGTGTGCACCACCATGCCCAGCTAATTTTTGTATTTTTAGTAGAGACAGGCTTTCACCATGTTTGCCAGGCTGGTCTCAAACTCCTGACCTCAGATGATGCACCCATCTTGGCCTCCCAAAGTGCTGGAATTACAGGCATGAGCCACCATGCCCGGCCAGAATTTTTTTCTTAACTTTCCAGGATATTCCGATATAAAGCCAAAGCTAAAAAATACTACTGTAAAATTGACAAGGTACTTAAGTCATCTGTGTAATAGTACCTATCAACTGAATCATCATTGAGTCAATAATGAAATCAAGATGGAAATTTAAAAATTCTTTGGACTGAAGGATAATAGTGACACAACCTATCATAACCTTTGGGCTTCAGCAAAAGTAGTGTGTAGGGAATCCATGAGTCCTACACGTTGGGTGCCAGAATGCAGGGATCCATGAGCCCCACATTGGGCACCAGAATGTAGGGAACCAGCCCTATATCACCCATGGGTATCCCGAGTTCAGTGGCGACAAAGGAATGAGAAAAAGACAGATTAAGAGGCACACACCTGCTTAGTGTGTAAAGACTAAGATTCGGTAACGGTGCTCATATAAAAAGCCAGTCACCCCCAAACATGCCAGCCCCCATCAGGCTAGAGAAGTATGAGGTCGCAGAAGAGAATCTGACAATCATCTAAAGAGGATATTTTCCTTAGCTTTTCCTTACCTTACATTAGTCACCACCAGCACCTTAATAAGGGTGAAAACAAACAGCGTGACTGGAATTCACTGTATGCCCATTAATTGCTCACTATAAATCAATATTCTAAATATCATCTTAATACATGATCAGAGTTAAATCTATTGTAAATAGACTTCTGATTTGAGTGGACCCTATTCAATGGTTAGAGCTAGGATTATGATGCTCAAAGTAGATAAAGAAATAAAGTAACAGCCATTCTTTCAGAATTCTGTCTTAAGGCTTCTGTCTTATGTAACATTCACAATGCCATTTGTGGCCATTTTTAAAAAATAACTAACGAAATGATTTTAGTTGTGCTTCCATTTAGGATTAGAAAGCATCCCAAAATAGAAATAATAATGCTGTAGAAATAATGGTGCTCTCACCCCAAGGGCAAAAAAAGGTCA